TGATGGGCGTCGCTTGTGGCTAGGTGCAGCTGCCAGAACGTTGCCAGGCTTGTGCTGGGTCTCGAGACCGAGGGGTTCACGATTTGCCATGGCGCAAAAGAGCATCCACCTTCCCGGTACACAAGAAAGACTGGGCAGTTTTACTTGAGAGCCATCAACCAAGACAAAACAGCGCATAACAACTAATTGTTCACACGGCAGCACTTGCAAGCAGTATGTGGCAAGAAAAGCTGCAAGTACTAATGCAAGCAGCCACTTGATTAAAGCATCCACAAAGCCTGGAGCTTGGAGTCACTATCTTCCTGGGCATTATCCTCAAGTAGATGCATCGTCTAAGAGGTTTGACGCCTGGTGCGCTTAGGTCGATCTTGCACGAAGCGGCTGCAGTGCCTATGTTTCAGCGCAGTCTGCTATTCTGGCATCGAAGCCCAAGCACACAGCCATTTCAGGAACGCCAAGCTTCCGCCGCGTGCAGTGTGGGCAGGTGGCAGCTTCTGCCCTTGCTACCGCTCTTCTGACTTACGTCGAGACCCGCTAGGTGGACAGACCCGGCACATCTGAATGAAATGACGGTAATGATAAATAATGATGATGATGGTGATGATGACGATGGCGATGCTGATGTCGATGATGGGAAAACATCAGCCGTGGAGTGGCAAGTGGCTCTATGATGACGAAAAAAGGCCTCGACTCCTTGAGACCCATGAGCTTGAGCATCTGAGCACAAACACATACCTTGTGTTTTTGCTGAAGGCTCAGTTGATGCGGTTGCAAAGGAGATGGAAAACATTCAGCAAGTCGCAACGCGGCTGACAGATGACATGCGCATCATGAAAGATCGATGGATGCTTGCGGAAGTCGCTACCAAACCAGTGTACAGTATTGTCTGCAATGCAAACACGCCTTTCTTGCACACGTTGAATGACTAAGTCATCGATGTAAGGGCAAACTTTATTTCCGGGATGAGAATATCTCATGGCGATACAATGCACCTCGGTGCTCTTTTAATGCTGGTGCTCCACAAGGGCACACGTGCCGCCATCTATAATGGCCGACATAATCAGTTGATAGGCGCCGGACGATTGTGACACTGTCGCCGCAAGTGAAGAAGATGGAAAGACATGATTCAGATGACACATGAGTTGGACGAAACCTGCCGTTATCGATGAGCGCGCCTGAACACAGTTTGCCGTTTTGCGAGTGCAGGACTGCATAGATCCTGTGGGCCTTGCCTTAACAAGGAGGGCTGATAAGTTAAGGTTGACTTCGGTTGCCAACGAAAAGCTCTCTGCTGGACATATGATGATGATGCGTCGGTGCTTGTCGTGGTTGATGGCTCGCGCCAGGTCATGCCGTCTCTGGAATGGGGCGCGGCACATGTCAAGTCGCCGTGGTTGGAAAAAAGCCGGTGGTATGTTGTGAGGGTTGGCATCTGTTCATAGCGAACTCGCTCTGAGCCCTGAAGCCTATTAAAACCCTCGACAGATGAGAATGTCGATTCAAGAAGTGTAGTTCACTAGGTACGAGCGCAAGTCCTGTCATGCCGTGGGTGTGTCGCAGATTGGACTCTCAACAGTTGGCCTAAATAGTTTCTGAACCAAGCTGGAAAGGTTTACTGCGGGGCTTTTTAACCTTACAACTGTTGCACTTGATCGGCTTCACGTAGCAAAGATGTTTTTCCCATAGGTCGCGATTGCGTCAATTTGCACATTGGTGTTACTTTGATGTGCGTGGCTCGGCAACATAAGCGTGCTTTTCCTGCGTGCCATTACCACTTTTCTCCGGACCATGCAGCGTGCCCTACGTGAACCGTTTGAACTTCTGCTTTCACATGAATGTCGATCTCTGTACAAGTAGCAAACCCGATGCATGGAATCAAGCTGGCAGGCATGTTGCCTGCTGAAGCACACTTGTTATAGCCTTTTTTTATAGTCGTCGTTGTGAGTCGCTTCAATGTGGACTGTGAGCCGTGCCACGGGGCTGAAAGGCGACGGAGGCCGACTGCAAGCTCTTGGCGTGAAATGGCGTGAACGATCGTGAACGTATGTGGTTGATTCGCTAATTGCCAGGGTTGCGGACACGTTCGAGCTTTTGTCCAAATGCATTATCGGCACATCTCCGAAGCTGCCTGCTATGAAGTTATGTTGGCACCTTCGTGTGTGTCGTCGATGCCCCTTCGCAGAGAAGAGGGTTCCCCAATTCATCTTAATTGCCTGCCTGTCACTGGGGCGCGACGCGGTTGATGTGACATAGGCTTCTCACGGGCCGCGTTGGTGTGCCGCTTTTGGACATCTCCCGAGCTCAGGCCAAGCGCTGTTGCGTCTTCGCGTGCTTGTCGGTGGGGTTTCGGCAAATTGTTGGCCATGATTTTATTAAACTAAAGGTTTGGCAAAGGTTGGTTTGGCTCACGCTGCAGAGTGTGGCAGCAGCGTAAGGCGCAGTCCGTCCTGTCGTCTGCCGGTCCGGCGGTCCGGTCCGCTGGTTGCCCTTTGCCCTCATGGGTATTCTTAAGGGGGCATGCGGGCACCAAATTAGAAAACAAGACCGTTCATGTTTGGCTGAAATCAGCATCGTCGGGTCATTCTGTTTTTAGTTTCGGGCCCGCTTCATCTGCGTCCCTATATTGTGGCATCATCCTTTATTGCCGCTTTCGGAAAGACTCGCATGCCGCTGCACACGTCGCACAGTTTTTTTTCGGGCAAATTTGTTGCCTGCCTCTCATGATGCGTATCGGGTCCAGAACCCGCCGCAGCTCCCGACCGTAGAACCATGGCGAGCAGACAAGTTCTGCCCCTTTCAGCTCATCGTGGCAGATTGCATCGTGTACACTTGTGCATTCACATCGGAACCGAAACCCTAAACCCTAAACGGTCCTAAACCCTAAACCCTAAACCCTAAGCCCTAAGCCCTAAACCCTAAACCCTAAACCCTTATGGTGTTCCTGACTCATTGGCGAACCTTGCCTCTGTCAAAGACACTCGGCACTCGCTCGGCACGAGCGACGTCAGCGCCACTCATTCGCATCGTCGTGGACGGCTTTGGCCGGAATGTCTATGCGTGCGCACGCGTCAGCTTGGCACATCGCGTGCGAGAAACCTCAGCCAAGAAAGGCAGGACAAAGCCGAGGGAAGTTGTCGATGCCCAGGTTCACATTTGGCAGGCGGACACACTTGACATGCCATGGAAGAGGGGCGCCGCTGTGCACAAGGGCTCCAAGCTCCGTGGTCAGTGCCAATGCTGGGTGGACCCGCAGAATCCGCTCACAGCCGAGAAGCTCTTGAGCTTGATGGATGAGGCAGGCGTGTCTCGGGCCGTGTTGGTGCCTCCTTCGTGGGCTGGCGACTCCAACGAGATCTGTCTCGCTGCGGCCAAGGCGCATCCCACGCGTTTTGGTGTTATGGGCCGTCTTGACATCAACTCTCGCAGAGCCGCGGAGGCAGCAATCTCGTCGTGGAGATCCACCAAGGGCTTGTTGGGATTTCGCATTACATGCAACCCCAGGAGCAACCCGCAAGTGGCCCAGGCACTGCAAACAGGTGGGCTCGACTGGGCCTTCGCAGCGTTGGAGAAGCACGGGGCTCCTCTGATGCTCTACGTGCCGACGCTCGTCGACTGCCTGCCTCCGATCCTCACACAATTCCCGAAGTTGAGGTTCGTGATCGATCATTGCGCCATCCCAGTGGAGCTGGAAGGCACCAATGCAGTAAACGCCGCGCTCTCTGAGATGGAGCCTTTGGCCAAATACCCCAATGTCGCGTTGAAGCTTACAGCGCTTCCTTGCCACATGGCCTCGGACGAGCCTGAGACCTGCGTGAGTCTACAGCCCAGGCTGCGGAAGTTGATCAGCCTCTTCGGGGCTGAGCGATGTTTCTGGGGCACCGACCTCAGCAGGAATCCTTTGGCCTACAAAGCCGCCATGCGTCAGTTCACTGAGCACTTCCCGGATTTGACTCAGACGGAACAGGAGCTGGTCATGGGAGATGGCATCCTGAGGTTTCTCCATTGGGATTCCGCCCGTTGTGCCGAGGGCTCTTGAAATTATACCCATGGGGCCCCGCAAGTCTGTCCCTCGCAGAATCCTCCGGCATGCAGGGCTGTCGACTGAAAGCGATGCTGCTCGAATGCCCTGGCGCAGCACTTTTACGGCATCTCCGCAGGCCTTGCAAGCGGCTTTCGGCACCGCGGAGCACGCAAAGTGCCTGAAGCCTTCGGAAGAGTTTTTTCATCGTGGCTCCGGAAAGGAGGGCGCAATGCGACGCAAGAGGCGCCAGTCGACCGGCAGGGTTTAGGGTTTAGGGTTTAGGGTTTAGGGTTTAGGGTTTAGGGTTGCTGGATGTGCCGGAGTTTCGCAGCTCACTGAGAACCCTAAACCCTCAGAAGACTCAGCGCGAGGATGCGCCGCAAAGCGTGCGCCCTCCGGCCTCTGGCATGCTTTGGCGTCGCTTCAAACCCTGGAGTTCCCGAAGCTTTGCATTCGCCACAGCTTCGGTGCCGGACCCGTGAGAAGATGCATCCGAAAGCAAGAGCCATGGCACCCACCCTGTGAGGAGATCATGGCGCTTGTAGGCTGCAGGTTCCTGTGCCATGGTGTTATCTTGTTGCATTCTTCGGCCATATGGCAGTTGAGTTGCAGTAGTTCTGCGCAAACCGTCGCCCCAAACCCTAAACCCTAAACCCTAAACCCTAAACCCTAAACCCTAAACCCTAAACCCCAAACCTTAAAGCGAACCACGAAACACGAGTGTTCGCCGATGAACGGTTGCAGCTAAGTACACAGATGCCCCTGAACCTGTGCTACACCCAGCCAAAGAGTCGCCAGTAGAGTTTAGGGCTTAGAGTTTAGGGTTTAGGGTTTAGGGTTTAGGGCTTAGGGCTTAGGGCTTAGGGCCAGAGCTAGGGTTTAGGGCTTAGGGTTGAGGCCTTAGGCTTCTCTCAGCCCCCACAGGCGGCGGGCGCTGTAGATTTACGTCGGTCAAAGCGAAGCAATTCGACCCAGCTCCATGTTGCAGAAGCTTCTGACGCCATGCGCCTGCCGGCTAAACTTCGCCCGCGCCATGCGCCTCGGACGCGACGCTTCATCCCTCCCTAAAGCCTCAAGCTCACAACGCTAAGAGTGAGGGTTTAGAGTTTAGGGTTTAGGGTTTAGGGTTTAGGGTTTAGGGTTTAGGGTTTAGGGTTTAGGGTTAGGGTTGAGGGTCTAGGGTCTAGGGTTTAGGGTTTAGGGTGTAGGGTTTAGGGTTTAGGGCATAGGGCTGATTTCGTTAGCCGTGGTGTGGGTAATGCCGCGTCGGTGTGTTTCATGTGTCAGGTCGTGAAGGAAGTGATAAAGGGGGGTTTTCCCCAGATAAAGCTTAGGGTATAGGAGCCTCTCTTGTTTCTTGTCTTGAAGAGGTTTAAGAGGATTATCATCACTTCTCTTTTGCAGTCTTGCCCCAAAATACTCAAGAGCCAACGGTTTCTTTGCAGCGTCGTTTCCCAGCCCCGACAGCTTACTTAAACCCAACACTTTTACCCTAAACCCATGACATCGAATTAAACTTCCACCCCAAGCCCGGCCCCAAGACCTACGCCCTAAACCCTAAACCCAGAAGCCCCCGAAATGCAGACGGGTGTTCCGTCAACAGCTTTCACTCAGGAGGGCGTGCAGAATCAACTTGAGCACTCAGCAAGCTCTGCTGCTCCACCCTAAGCCCTGAGCCCTAAACCCTAAGCCCTAAACCCTCAACCCCAGTATCCCTAAACCCTAAACCCGAACCCCACACCCTAAACCAAGCATATGCCTTAAGCCCCAAGCCCAAACTTTCAGAAGTCCACCCGACCAGGTCTATGCCCTCGAGGGCTGATACGCAACCAATGAGATTTCATCGGCTGGCCCCTGGCAAGGCCTGCGGGTTTAGGGTTTAGGGTTTAGGGTTTTCGGGCTTGGGTCGGAGGCCTCCTATTGGGCTTCGCTTCGTCTGATATAATCACCAAGATGGGGCGCGGTGCTGTGGAACCAGGGGGCTGCAGGTGTCAGGGTTGACGGCTTCGGGTTCAGTGTTCAGGGTTCAGGGTTCGGGGTTTAGGGTTCAGGGTTCAGGGTTCAGGGTGTCGAGTCTTGGGTCATGGAATGGGCGGCAGGGAATTTAAGGTTTGGGGCTTGAAAGTCTCTACAACTGGATTCTAAACAGAACGCCCCCAAGCAGGTCTGAAGAGTACTCCTTGAGAGTTTGCTGCGCTCCTTGAGAGCCCGTTGTTGAAATCTCTTTTGCCCTTCCCTTTTCTTGGGCTTTGTCTAGGCAACTTCTTCCTTCACCGCCGACTTCGCCGCGGGGCATCGCCTGACTTGTCATTTTGGGGATGCCTAGGGCTTCAGGACCTAGTGCCCGACTCGTGTGAGCATGACTAGCTTGAAAGCAGCCGGCAAGTCAGCCGCTAGGAGAATGGCAACGTTAATGACCAATGCTAGCTGCCGGATGTTCCTATGCTGCCCTGACCGCCGCACCCGCCGCACAGGCTCCAGGACGCAAACGCACGCTTCCTTCCACCTTCGCTGTCACAGCTTCAGCCATGGCAAAGGCCCTCGTGATCCCCGCGTCCCTGCTGGCAGGTGCCGCCTTCATTGCACCCTCCTCCAGCAACCTTCGTGCCTCCGCGCCGCAGCAGCGCGGGCCCGCCCCCAACAGCTCCAACGCCTCCAGCGGCTCCGCCTGGGCCCCGGCAGCCCTGGCCGGCGCCGTGGCCGTGGGCGCCGCCGGCGCGCGCCGCGCCTCGCAGCGCCGCGCCTCGGTGGCGGTGCGCGCAGAGAATCCCCGGGCGGAGAAGCTCCGCACCATGGAGAAGACGGTGCAGGTCACGGGGGAGGGATGGTCAAAGTTGAGTGCGGGAGGTTGAGCTTAGAAGCTCTACTGCTTGGAGGTTCAGGGTACTTGTAACCCAATTATAGGTGTAGTGATAACCCGCTTATAAGCCCCTTACGTACCCTAATGGGGTTGTATGTGGGTTACAAGTACAGATATAATTGGGTTACGAAGTACCATGAATCTCCAAGTACGCCTTGAAAACCTTAACCCTAAACCCCACACCCCAACCCAAACCCTAAACCCTTAGGCCCTAAACCCTAAACCCTAAACCCTAAACCCCAAACCCGAACCCCAAACCCTAAACCCTAAACCCTAAACCCTGAACCCTAAACCCTAAACCCTAAACCCTAAACTAAGTTCAGCCAGGTCTCGCCCTCCATCCTCTCCGCGGACTTTGCCAACCTTGGCCAGGAGGTCGGCGATGTGCTGAAGGCAACTGGGGGTTCAGGGTTTAGGTAGGGCTTAGGGTTTAGGGTTTAGGGTTTAGGGTTTGGGGTTTGGGGTTTGGGGTTTAGGGTTTAGGGTTTAGGGTCGGTTGGGACGTACCCTTTCTGTGGGTCGTTGTCAGCCCTGCACAGGGTTCTTGGCACTAGGGTCACCTAGACACACTTTGGTTTTTGGGTTTTTGAAGACAGGTCTTGCGGTTTGGGGTTGAGAGTCTTGAGAGGGCGGAGGAGAAAGCCTCTTAGTCTAAGGCAGACTGCATCCTGAGTCCCAAACCGTTAACTCCCAGCCGTGCAAGCTGTCGTGAGTCGGGTTTAGGGTTTAGGGTTTCCCAAAACCCTGGAAGCACCAAGTCCCTAGCACCCGACGTCCAACCTCAAACCCTAAACCCTAAACCCTAAACCCTAAACCCTAAACCCTAAACCCTAAACCCTAAACCCTAAACCCTAAACCCTAAACCCTAAACCCTAAACCCTAAACCCTAAACCCTTCCTCGTCTCACTCAAGCAGCAGTGGTGCTGCCCTTAGCCCAAGCCCTACATCCCGAAGACCTCAACATCTTCTCAACACGTTTACCTTCAAACCCTAACGGTTTAGGGTTTAGGGTTTAGGGTTTAGGGTTTAGGGTTTAGGGTTTAGGGTTTAGGGTTTAGGGTAATCTAGGTCCCAGTAGGTCCCACACCTTTAAACCCTAATCCCCTGAACTCTTGCTCCCAAATAGGTCCCACACCAAACCCTCAAAACCTAAGCCCTAAACCCTAAACCCTAAACCCTAAACCCTAAACCCTAAACCCTAAACCCTTGAAGCACAAAGGCAGGCGCGGACTGGGTGCATGTGGACGTCATGGACGGCCGCTTCGTCCCCAACATCACCATCGGGCCCGGTGTGGTCTCGGCCCTGAGGCGCGCAGAGGGTGCAAAGACGGGTGTTTAGGGGTTAGGGTTTAGGGTTTAGGGTTCAGGGTTTAGGGTTTACTTCAAACAGCTTGGGCAGTAGGAGCGAGGGTTTCGGGTTTAGGGTTCAGAGTTGAGGGGCCCCAACGCCCCTAAGCCCTAAGCCTTAAACCCCAAACATCCTAAACCCTAAGCCCTAAACCCTCAAGCCCCTGTAACTTGACATTATTCAGAAGTCAAGAAGCGAAACTTTCCTCGAAACCTTTCGAAACTCCTGGAAACTTTCCCCGGACCTGAACCCTGAATAATTTCAATATACCCTGAACCTTAAACCTTAAACCTGAACCCTAAACCCTAAACCCGAAACCCTACGTCGCGAAGCTGAATCCGAAGCCCCATCGACGTGTGATGTAGCCTGAAGCGGCCCGGGCTGTCTTCCCAGATGGGTAGGGCACTTATAAGCAGGGTTTCGGGTTTAGGGTTGAGGGTTCAGGGCTCAGGGTTTAAGTCTTCAGGTGCATTGAATAATTTCAATATACCCTAAACCTTAAACCCTAAACCCTAAACCCTAAACCCTAAACCCTAAACCCTAAACCCTAAACCCTAAACCCTAAACCCTTCTAAACCCTATTGTAGGCAGGGCAGCCAGAGTGTTCCCAGGAAGGCGCACCCCGACTCCATCCTCGATTGCCATCTGATGAGCCCCCGCCTGCGAGTTGAGATGCCGGCTGTTTCGTTGGAGGGCTTGGGGTTTAGGGTTTAGGGTTTAGGGTTTAGGGTTTAATGTTTAGGGTTTAGGGTTTAGGGTTTAGGGCTTAGGGCTTAGGGTTTAGGGGTGAGGGTTTGGGGTTTATGCATCTCGGGTGTTGAGGGCCTGAGACACGAAACCTTCAAGTGTCGGGGGTCCAGTTGGGAGCTAGCGGGCAGTTTGTTTTCCGGAAAGCTTCTGCAGCTAGACCCTAAACCCTAAACCCCATTGAGAGGGCGCCACAGCGCGGAAGCACAACGCGCAAGTCATAGCTTAAAAGCAACAGCTCTGAACGCTCAGACAGAAGGAGAGAGAGAGAGAGAGAGAGAGAGAGAGAGAGAGAGAGAGAGAGAGAGAGAGAGGGCGAGAGAGAGTGACAGAAGAAGAGCGCCGAGGATCGTTGAGCCTGAGCAGCGCGTGGAGGATTTCGCCAATGCGGGCGCAGACATCATCTCCGTGCACTGTGAGGCTCTCTTGCCTTTTTTGGTTCAGATCATTCCATCCCTTCACTAACTTCCCTTCAGAGATTTGAGGGGTTTGGGGTTGAGGGTAGACCCTGAGAGGCCCTAAGCCCTAAACCCTAAACCCTCAACCCTAAGCCCTCAACAGCTAGTTGTATCAGCTTCGGGGGCGCCTCAGAGCTTTTCTGTGGGGTGGCGGGGTTCAAGCTTCTGGCAGCATTTGGTAGGCGGCATCGACGATCCACCTCCACCGCACGCTGAACCAGATCAAGAGCAGGGGCCTTGGGCCCTAAACCCGAAACCCGAAACCCGAAACCCTAAACCCGAAAGTCCAAACCCGAAACCCTAAACCCTAAACCCTAAACCCTAAACCCTAAACCCTAAACCCTAAACCCTAAACCCTAAACCCTCGGGCTTCCGGGCGCGTCCCGAAGCCCGCAAACTCCAACACCCGTAAGCTTGAACGCCGTCCTCAACGAGAAAGCCGGTTTAGGGTTTAGGGTTTAGGGTTTAGGGTTTAGGGTTTAGGGTTTAGGGTTTTGGAGACCTCAACCCCTAGAGCCTGAACCCCTAAGCCCTGAACCCCTAAACCCCTCAACCACAAACCCTAATCCCTAAACCCTAAACCCCAAACCCTAAACCCGAAACCCTAAACCCTAAACCCTAAACCCAAAGGCTTCGGCTGCCTTGCCGGAGTGGTGCTGAACCCCGGCACGCCCCTTTCCCAGATCGAGTATGTCCTGGAGGAGGCAGCTTCGGGTTTAGGGTTTAGGGTTTAGGGTTTAGTTAGGGCTTAGGGTTTAGGGTTTAGGGTTTAGGGTTTAGGGTTTAGGGTCGAGCAGCTTGCTACGGTCCCTGCTTTCTGTAAGGCTTTGGGCTTTATAGGGCTCCATTGACACTATCCCGCCCCCCCTCAAACACTAAAACCCCACCAAACCCCAAACCCTAAACCCTAAACCCTACAAACCCTAAACCGTGCGGTTCCTAAAGCCAAATACCCTGTAAACTAGCCGTTTCGAGAGGTGGATCCGGTCTTCATCCCAATCCCTCAGCCCCTCAGCCCCCTAAACCTCTGAACCCTCAACCTGAAAACCCGAAACCCTAAACCCGAAGCCCTAAACCCTAAACCCTAAACCCTAAACCCTAAACCCTAAACCCTAAACCCTAAACCCTAAAACCCTAACCGCTTCATCCCTAGAGCCCTCAACCCTCAGCCCCCCGAGCCCCTCAACCCTAAAAACCCTAGAACCCTAAGCCCGAAGCCCGTAAAACCCTAAGGCCAAAGCCTCCGACTTTACATCCTCAAACCCTAAACCCTAAACCCCAAACCCCAAACCCAAAACCCAAAACCCTAAACCCTAAACCCTAAACCCTAAACCCTAAACCCTAAACCCCCGAGAGGTGGATCTGGTCCTGATTATGTCCGTGAACCCGGGCTTCGGTGGCCAGAGCTTCATCGAGTCCCAGCGCCTTCGGCATTTAGGGGCTTAGGGTTCGGGTTTAGGGTTTAGGGTTTAGGGTTTAGGGTTTAGGGTTGAGGGTTTAGGGTTGAGGGTTTAGGGTTTAGGGTTTAGATTTTGGGGTTTAGGGTTTAGGGTTTAGGGTTTGGAGGCAGGGTTTAGGTTGCTTCGAGGTTCAGTGTGCTTAGGGGTTGTGGGTGTAGGGTTTGGGTTTTAGGATTCGCTGTCACCTGGCGCAGGTGCTGTGAAGGATAGGCTGCAGCCTTCGTCAGGTGCGAAGAGCAGCTATGGCCCGATTGTGGAGGGCCACCTAGTATTTTCTCTCCCACCCCACGCCGCGTAAGGCGGCAAAGTCACCCTCACCTATTCCGTGTAGGGTTTAGGCCTCAACTTATTTGTTTGCAGAGTGATCCTGACCTAGTCGGCATAGCAGAGTAAGATACTGCCCAGGTCCCAAGGTCCTGGGCGGGGTCGGTGGGTTCTAGCGAGGTTTCAGGGTCCAAATATCCGTAAGGTGGCCGGGTTAGGGGAGTTGAGGGGGGTTCCGGCGGTGCGCCCGCAAAGAACTAAGCCGTGAGTTTAGGGTTTAGGGTTTAAGGTTTAGGGTTGAGGGTGTACGGTTCAGGGGTTTACAGTTCATAAAGCGTTTTGTGGCGTTCAGGGGCCTTTGAAGCGCTTTAAGGGTTAGGGGGGGCTTTCGTCTTCATGGCATTTGAGGTTTTCGCATTCTAGATATCAAGGGACTGATGATGGATGTTTGTTGCTTTTTTTTAGGGGTTGTTAGGGCTGGAGAGCTTCTATGGTTTCAGCGCTTTTGGGGTTTAGGGGCTCTTTCGGATTTGGGGTTTGCAGACTACAGGCTATTCAATTTGCGGCTGTCGGAGACGCCCTACGTGCTGAACCCTAAGCCCTAAACCCTAAACCCTAAGCCCTAAACCCTAAACCCTAAACCCTAAACCCGAAACCCTAAACCCGAAACCCGAAACCCGAAACCCTAAACCCTAAACCCTCAACCCTAAACCTAAACCTTACCGGGAAGGCTCCCGGAACCACTAGGGCCTCAACCCTAAACCCTCAACCCTAAACCCTAAACCCTAAACCCTAAACCCTAAACCCTAAACCCTAAACCCTAAACCCTAAACCCTAAACCCTAAACCCTAAACCCTAAACCCTAAACTCTAAACCCGAGGCTGCAGAAGATCAAGGACCTGAAGGCGATGTGCGAAGCCAAGGGCGTGCCTCTCGGCGGTGAGCCAGCACCGTAACCCTTTGCCTCACAACAAGGCTTAGGGTTTAGGGTTTAGGGTTTAGGGTTTAGGGTTTAGGGTTTAGGGTTTAGGGTTTAGGGTTGAAAGCCTACACAGAAAACTCCCGACATCCTTCCGCCAACTTCCTCTGAACTTCCTAAACCCTAAGCACGAAGCCCCACAACCCTAAACCCTAAACCCTAAACTCTAAACCCTAAACCCTAAACCCTAAACCCCTAAACCCTAAACCCTAAACCCTAAGCCCCAAAACCCTAACTGCAAGAGATCTTCAGGAACCCATGGATTGAGATCGACGGCGGCGCCAGTGGAGCCAACGCCAAGGAGATCAAGGAGGCTGGGAGCCTCTGGGTTGTTTAGGGTTTAGGGTTTAGGGTTTAGGGTTTAGGGTTTAGGGTTAATCAGGGTTAGTTAGGATTTAGGGTTTAGGGTTCAGGGTGTGAGGGTTTTAGGAGGGTTTGAGGGTTTAGGGTTTAGGGTTTTCGTGTTTGAGGGTTTAGGGCTATAGGGTTTTTAGGGTGTAGGGTGTTAGGGTTTTCAAGGTTCTAGGATGTTAGGGCATACAACCTTCCTTGGGGTTGGTAGATAACCCATGAACCTTCAAAGCAGGTTTTTCCGGCTTCGGATTCGGGCTTCACGGCTTATCTGGTTTTGGGGTTTTGGGGTTAGGGTTTTCGGGTTTAGGGTTTAGCGCTTTAGGGTTTCCGGGTTTTAGGTTTTGGGTTTAGGCTTGCTAACGTCCGGTTCATATCCAAATCGCTGTGGCAGGCGGGCTGCAACGCCATCGTGGCCGGCTCCGCCGTTTTCAATGCCCCCGACTACGCCGAGGTACCCTAAACCCTAAACCCTAAACCCTAAACCCTAAACCCTAAACCCTAAACCCTAAACCCTAAACCCTAAACCCTAAACCCTAAACCTAAACCCTAAACCCTAAACCCTAAACCCTAAACCCTAAACCCTAACCCTAAACCCTAAACCCTAAAACTAAACCTAAACCCTAAACCCTAAACCCTAAACCCTAAACCCTAAACCCTAAGCCCTAAACCCTAAACCCTAAACCCTAAACCCTAAACCCTAAACCCTAAACCCTAAACCCTAAACCCTAAACCCTTAACCCTTAACCCTTAACCCTTAACCCTTAACCCTTAGCCCTTAGCCCTTAGCCCTTAACCCTGAACCCTTAACCCTAAACCCTAAACCCTAAACCCGAAGGAACCTCCATGTCCTCGACCCAACCCCCCTCCCGAGTCAAGTGTTCAGGGTTGCGAGTTTAGGGTTTTTGGGTTTCGGGCTTGGGATGTTAGACAAAACCCAGCCCCAAGTTTGCCAAGCTTGGACCAGTGTTCTCCCGCAGCTTAGTGTTTGGGACTTACGGTTTCGGGCTTGAGGGTCTAGGGCCTAGGGTGATTTTTTGCGGGTTGAGGATTTCGGGCGTGGCGTTGCTAGGACTTAGGGTTTCGGATTTGAGGCTTGGGGATCTATAGGTTTGGTGTTTCGGGCTCAGGGTTGAAGAGGAGGTGGGGGCTAGGGGCCCGGTTGCAGTTGCGGCAACTTCCATGCGGGGAACTAGAAGCACCCTAAACCCGAAACGCTAAACCCGCAACCGTAACCTCAACCCTAAACCCCTAACCCCTAACCCCTAAACCCTAAACCCTAAACCCTGAACCCTAAACCCTAAACCCTAAACCCTAAACCCTAAACCCTAAACCCTAAACCCTCCTCAGGCCGTCAAGGCCATCAAGGAGGCATGAGTCTTCTCGAGCACTTTGAGGTACCGCTTTCGGGGCTTCGGGTTTCGGGTTTGGGGTTTAGGGTTTGGGGGTTTGGGGTTTAGGGTTTAGGGTTTAGGGTCTAGGGTTTAGGGTTTAGGGTTTGGGGTTTAGGGTTTGGGGGTTTGGGTTTAGGGTTTGGGGGTTTGGGTTTTAGGGTTTCGGTTTTAGGGGTGCCGCGACGTTGGAGACGAGTGTTCGGCCTGCTGGGCTTGGGGGCTTAGGGGCTTTAGGGGTTTAGGGGGTTTAGGGGTTTAGGGCTTAGCGGTTCAAGGGTTCTGGGGTTTAGGGGGTTAGGGGTTCAGGGTTTCAGGGTCAGGGCCCCAGAAGTTTCAGGGTTTGGCGGGGTTCAAGTGTTGATTAGGGGGCCAAGCCTACCCTGCGAGGTACCCTAAACCCTACACCCTACACCGAAACCCGAAACCCGAACCCTAAACCCTAAACCCTAAACCCTAAACCCTAAACCCTAAACCCTAAACCCTAAACCCTAAACCCTAAACCCTAAACCCTGAACCTTACCCTGCGAGGTAGATACCGTGCATTTTTCCGACATCCGGACCCGGGTCCCGACCCGTGAGAGTGAAGATTCTTGAACATCTTGTGAGTGGCTGAACGTTGCACTGATGACCCGCAGAAACACAGCCGGCTTAGGGTTTAGGGTTTAGGGTTTAGGCTTTGGGGTCTCAGTAAATGCGGGTCGCTGTGCGTTGCAAGGTTCCCACGGTCATATATAGGACGCTTGAGGAGGCGCGGCTCGAGAAGAAAAAGAGAATGTGCAGGCAGCGGCGTTTGGTGCTTGCGCCAGATGCAGGGCTTAGGGTGACATGTTCTCCCTCTCACTAGCAGTCGTAAGAGTTACGAGAAGGCAGAGCTATCATCAGAATGATCGAAACGTGGGTGGTAACTGCCAGTGTAAGAGGAAGTCCTTAGGTTCGTTGTAGGTTAGGACATGCTGGAACACCTTCTAGCTACTCTTCCCCATGAACCACAGGAGCCTTGCCAAGAGGCAACTACGTCAAGTGCGTTGAAGCCAGAAACCCTGCGCCCTGAACCCGAAATCCTCAGAAAGCCAGCACCCAGAAACCCAGAAGCCCTGAGGCTTAGATGCTACACCCTACGCCCCGAACCCCTAAACCTGAATCCCTAAACCCGAAACCCTAAACCCTAAACCCTAAACCCTAAGCCAGAAACCCTCACTCAGCCAGGCTGACGGAGGGTGGTGAGGCCCGGCTTTCAGTGAAGGTTTCGGTGTCCTAGGGCAGGGTTTTGCGTTGAGGGTTTTCGGGTTTAGGGTGCAGAAACCCTTAACCTTGAACTGCCCTGCACCCTGAACCCGACACCCCGCCGTAAACCCTGAACCCTAAACCCTAAACCCTGAACCCTAAACCCTAAACCCTAAACCCTAAACCCTAAACCCTAAACCCTAAACCCTAAACCCTAAACCCTAAACCCCAAAACAAACAAGAGGCAGCTCTGGTGGCCAAGCTACGGCGGCGTCTGGGTCCCTAGCTGCCGGCTCGTCGGATCGGGGGGGGGGGGAGGTTCAGGGCTTCAGGGTTTAGGGTTTAGGGCTAGGGTTTAGGGCTTAGGGCTTAGGGTTTAGGGTTTAGGGTTTAGGGTTTCAGGGTTTAGGGTGTAGGGCTTGGAGGTTAGGGTTGAGGGTTTAGGGTTTGGGATGTAGGGTTTAGGGCATAGAGGTTAGGGTTGAGGGCTTAGGGATTGGGATTGAGGGTTTAGGGCTTAGAGGTTAGGGTTTTTTTTGGGGTTTAGGGTTTGGAGGTTAGGTTTTTTTGGCTTTCGGGTTTAGGGTTTAGTGGTTAGGGTGTTTTAAGGTTTAGAGGTTAGGGCGTTTTAGGGTTTACGGTTTACAGGTTAGGGTGCTTCAGGTTTTAGAGGTTAGGGTTTAGGGTTTAGAGGTTAGAGGTAGGGTTTAGGGTGTAGGGTGGTGACGGGTTTTCAGGTTTGTGTATTTCGCCGGGGCACTTTGGGTGGCCAGTTTAGGGAAGAGGTTTAAGGGTTTCGTCTTCGGGTAGTTGCATGATCCCTTAGTATGGCCCTTATAGAGGGTTCCCGAAATAGGGGTACCTTTTTGGGGGGTTCCTACACTAGGTCTGTTGGGCGCAAAGTAGGGGCACCCTGTTTTTTTGTACTCTACACAAATGAACGGCCCTTCGACCTCGCTGCCCGTTTTGGCAGCTCGGGGTCTGTGTTGGAGTGGGGGGGGGGGCCTTCAGAGCGGCCCAGGCGGCGTGGGTGCGAAAAAAGTACGTTTTTGCCTCTGACATCCCCCTTGAAACCTTCCTGCGAGCGTCCTGGGACCCTTTTGGGACCTTCCTGACACCCCCCTGACACCAGTTGACGTGAGTTTCGGCCTAAACCCTAAAAGGAATTGGTTTGGGTGGTTTTGCCGCCGAAGACGGCGTGGGGTGGGATAAAGATGTTAGATGGCCCTCCACTATCAGGCCATCGCATTTCACGTGTCGAAGCGAGTCTGCATCCCAACCTTCACAGCTCACGCGCCATTTCACAGCAAACCCTAAACCCTAAACCCTAAACCCTAAACCCTAGACCCTAAACCCTAAACCCTAAACCCTAAACCCTAAACCCTAAACCCTAAACCCTAAACCCTAAACCCTAAACCCTAAACCCTAAACCCCAATCCCCAAACCCCAAACCCTAAACCCTAAATCCTAAATCCTAAACCCTACCCACCCTCAAAGAACCTCCAACCAGCGTTGTGGCAGGGCAGCTCCTGTCTCCGCTGGTCCCTGCCGAGGCCAGATGGACAGTAGGTAGGGTTTAGGGTTTAGGGTTTAGGGTTTAGGGTTTAGGGTTTAGGGTTGAGGGTTGAGGGTGTAGCAGTGGTCAGCTGTACGCAGTTTTGTGCAGACATGCCCACCCCAAGGCCACCCAAACACTACTCAAAACGAACCAAAAAGAGCCAGCCAAATCCAAGCCAGCCCACATCCAAACACTTCTGCACTCAACGCCTGTACTTCGGACTAACATCTAGCACGCTGACTTATGTCATGGAGCCTGATGCCTTGCTTTCTGCAAGGTGACATTTGAGAAGATGGCTTGCAAAAGATGCTAGATGTCGAGCTTCCGAGAGAGAAAATTTGGTTTGTTCCACTAAACGTTGCATGGCGATAATTAGACCCTTTGCTAAACAGGTCTAGAAGCTTGCGAGAGCCAAATCAGCTTTTGCGCTGGGGGGTGTTTTCGGCCAAATTCTGAAAATAAAGCGGCCAAATTCTGAAAATAAAACGGCCAAATTCTGAAAATAAAGCGGCCAAATTCTGAAGAGGCCAAATTCCGAAAATCAAGCGGCCAAATTCTGAAAATAAAACGGCCAAATTCTGAGAATAAAGCGGCCAAATTCTGAAATTCAATTAGCCTTTGGCCTGATTTTGGCTCATTCTGAAAATAAAGCGGCCAAATTCTGAAAATAAAGCGGCCAAATTCTGAAAATAAAGCGGCCAAATTCTGAAAATACAGCGGCCAAATTTTGAAATACAATTAAGGTTTAAATATATATGGTAGAGAGGGTTTAGGGTTTAGGGTTTAGGGTTTAGGGTTTAGGCTTCAGGGTTCAGGATTAAGGGTTAGGGTTTCGGGACTTGAGAGAGCTCAAGGGGGTCGAGGGTTTAGGGCTGAGGCCGTGAGAGGCGTGTGGTGCAGACCCTCAGCCCTCAGCCTTCAACCCTAAACCCTAAACCCTAAGCCCCTAAACTTCTCCAAGGAGATGTTGGGGCTATTCTGGGTTCGCACAGGCGCTCTGCAAGGTTGTTCGGGTCTAGGTTCATGGTTCAACCATCAACGCCTGAACCCCTCGGCCAGTGGCCCCAAGGCTGTTTTGCGGGAGTTTCCGCAAGCACAAGCGCTGCCGTCGGCCCTCTCCTCGGTCTGTGGGGGCCTGTTTGGTTCCAGGGTTTAGGGTTTAGGGTTTAGGGTTTAGGGTTTAGGGTTTAGGGTTTAGGGTGGGCCCAAGGAGTTGGGAAGAGTTAGGGCAGCGTACTTGTAGCTGTTTGTATCCGACCAAGGCCCCAAACCCTACACTGAAAGGCCCTCTCGAGCCTTCCGGCTCCCCTACAGTATCAGCCCTAAACCCTAAACCCCAAACCCGAAGCTAAGCCCTAAACCCTAAACTCTAAACCCTAAACCCTAAACCCTAAACCCTAAACCCTAAACCCTAAACCCTAAACCCTGAACCCTGAACCCTGAACGCTAAACCCTAAACCCTAAACCCTAAACCCTAAAACCCTAGACTCTGAGGGTTCACGGTTTCACAGAGGCCCTGGCCGTGCTTGCGGAGCACACGCTCACGGCGGCGGTGCGTGGGGCGATGGGCATCTGGTCGGGCGCCTTGATATGGAGGTTTCCGAATTTAGGGTTCAGGGTTTGGGTTTAGGTTTTCGGGTTTAGGGTTTAGGGTTTAGGGTTATAGGGTCGGAGTAACTGCTAGTAGAATTCCCTTATGGTTCCGAATAGCCCCCCAAAACCCTATTCTAATTATTCAGGCCGCCATATTAAGCGAGTTCGGCTTTTTGTCGTTCCTCACTCGGGTTTCCGGGTTTAAGGAGTTGGGGGTTGAGGGAGTTCGAGGCTCAAAGGGGCTTAAGAGAAGATTTTGTGAATCCTTCAACCGCCAAAGCGGTTGCTGAATCAACGGGGAGTACCCAAGCCCTGAACATTCAGGGTTTAGGGTTTCGGGTTGTCCTAAAGGTCTCAACCCTGAACCCCAAAAAGCCCCATACTTTCCTATCCCTCCACATCCTCGAATTCGTAAAGCATCATCCAACATCCACGAACCTTTAGCCCCCCAGACCAACAAGCTAAAACCTCTGAAGCCCCCCGACAAGCCTTACTCTTTCCCAGAGCACTGAAAAATCTTGTATGTAGCAACCTCTATGCCCCAAATCCCCAAACCCCCTTCAACCCTAAACCCGAAACCCCAAACCCTAAATCTTCAATCCGAAACCCTAAACCCTGGCCGTAGCCCAGGGTGGTCCGTGATGGCTCGGTCGTGGCCCGGACGCCGGCAGCAGAGGTGGGCCCAAGGGCGATCGGGGTTTTGGGGTTTAGCGGTCAGGGTTCATGGGTTTTATGGGTTTTAGGGTTTAGGGTTTAGGGTTTAGGGTTTAGGGATAGGGTTCTATGGGTTAGGGGAGTTAAGGGGGAACATCATACAGCTGAAGGCTTTTAAGGGTGTATGGGGCGCTTCGGGGAGTCTAGGCGTCGGCCCACGGTTAGAGCCCGAAACGCGGGAATACCGCCGGCTCAGTCATCGGGGCACCAGTACTTCACTTTAGGCCTGCCCCTAAACCCTAAACCCTAAACCCTCTACCCTAAACCTTAAACCGTAAACCCTAAACCCTAAACCCTAAACCCTAAACCCTAATCCCTAAACCCTAAACCCCTCTAACCCTAACTCCAAGCCTTCAAGCCAAAACCCGCCCTGCCAGCGGCGCCCAGGACGCCTCTGTTCGCAGTTTCAACTTGCGGGTGAGGCCAGAGTTCTGCAGGTGCAGGGTTTAGGGTTTAGGGTTTAGGGTTTAGGGTTTAGGGTTTAGGGTTTAGGGTTTAGGGTTTAGGGTTTAGGGTTAGGGTTTAGGGTGTAGGGTTTAGGGTTTAGAGATTAGGTAGGGTTTAGGGTTTAGGGTTAGGGTTTAGGGTGTAGGGTGTAGGGTTTAGGGTTTAGGGTATCAGGAAAGACCCTTACGTTCTGGTTCTTACCAAGGAATGAGGGGATTAGGAACCCTAGATCGTCCGGTGAGAGGCAATGTAAGGGGATTTAAGGTACCTCATTCCCTCATTCCCGGCGGAGAGCCAGTGAGTGATGGGTTTTGGGTTTCGGGCTTCTGGTGTTTAGCAAATGTAGGGTTTAGGGTTTAGGGTTTAGGGTTTAGGGTTACCAGGACCACCTGCTCCGAGGCCTGGTGACCTGCTGGGCCTTTGCACGACGCTTCGAGGCGTGAGGTGCGCTCCTCTGAGTGTGACCACAAGCTGCGAAGTCGGGGCTTGAGGGATGGTTTAGGGTTTAGGTGTTCAGGGTTTAGGGTTTAGGGCTAGCTAGGGTTTAGGGTTTAGGGTTTAGGGTTCAGGGTTTAGGGTTTAGGGTTTCGGGTTTAGGGTTTGGGGCTGGGCCATGTGGCGTCCGAGAGGTTTCAGGTTCCGATGATGGGCCACTGGCTTTCGGGCTCGGGTTCTCATGGCGAATCGGAAACCACAAAGGCCCTCAACCCGTTAAACGCAGTTGGGGGTTTACGGAAATAGGGTCCCCCAATTTTGGTCCCCAAATAGTGGGATTCCCGTATACTCATACCAAGGACCCCCAATAGGGTATTTCCTTATGTTCCCTTTGTAAGAAGACTATCGTAACCCCCCAAACCCTACTTTAATTTTTAAGGCCCCTATATTGGCCCGGCACATGTCGGCAAAGGCCAGACGCGGAACTCGCCGCCGCCGTGAAGGCCCGGGTTTGGGCCCCGGCTTGCTTAGGGTGGATTCGGGGGGTCGACAGGGTTTGGGGTGGTTTAGGATCTAGGGTTTATAGGGTTGAGGGTGGTTTAGGGTTGTTTAGGGTGGGTTTATAGGGTTTAGGGTGGTTTAGGGTCTATAGGGTTTAGGGTGGTTTAGGGTCTCGAAGGTTTAGTGTTTGGTGTTCTTGAAGAGAAGATGCCAGACTTTTCCTTGTTGGCGGCCGGGACCATGGCAGTTCCGATGAGTTTGTGCATCCGAATCGCGTCCCGTAAGCGTTCTGCAGCCGGTGCGAAAGCACCCGCTGGTGGTTGGAGGCGGGACGGACTCGTGCCAGGATTTCGTGTACACAGACTGAGAACCGCCAGCCTGCAACAGGGTGGGCTCCTGTCCTTCTTCGAGATGACTGGCCGCTATGAGTACAGCCTCGTGCGCGAGACATCATCCTGCCCTTGAGAAGAGACTAGTTGCATGCCATAGGGATCAAGTGTCGTGGGGTGAAGAGTTTCGGCAGCTGCAGCCAGCATCACGAGATGTGCAAGCAACTTGCACGTTAAGTCTACTAAGTCCCACATCTTAATACTACCCTACGTCCGACGCCTTGCACTAACGTGAGCCCTAAGCCCTACCACCCTAAATCCCAGTAACATCCCAAACTCTCAGCCAAGATTGCATTCGCCAGGAATCAAACTCGGATGCGATGGTGCTCAGGCAGCGTGCTCGAGCTTGAGGGTTCATATCCTGAACCGCGGCGCCCCGTAGACAGGGCGAAACCCAAAGAGTTTAGGCAATGTCTGTCCCTAAGCCCTTAACCCCTGGCCTTCTGCCGAAAACCGCCCCCCAGAGCATCCCTCGAGGAGGCCTAAACCGCAAACCGTCAGCCCTAGAGCCTAGTCACCAACCCCGAACACCCAAGCCCGCAAACCTAAACCCCAAACCCTAAACCCTAAACCCCAAACCCTAAACCCCAAACCCTAAACCCTAAACCCACAACCCTAAACACCCTCCCAAAGCAAAGACCCTAAACCCCAGGGTCGAGCTGATGAGGGCGGAAGATGCCTGGACCCCGGCCTTCGTTCAGGGACTGGTGGGGCTTCGGTGGTTTGTATAGGGTTTAGGGTTTAGGGTTTAGGGTTTAGGGTTTAGGGTTTAGGGTTTAGGGTTTAGGGTTTAGGGTTTAGGGTTTAGGGTAGGGGTGGTTGTCAAATTGTGGCCCCTTTTTGGATCCCTATTAGAGTACGGCGCCTAATATTTAGGGTAGATCAGAATTTTGACAGCCACCCATAGGGTTTAGGGTTTACAGATTCACTGGTAAACTTGACCGTCTAAGTGGCTGGTCTGTCCGTCTGCGTGCTCTTAGATAAACTTGATTGTCCGACTGTTTGACTGTTGTGGGGTAAGACGGGTAAGAGTTCTTAGATTAACTCAAGTGTCTGTCTGTCTGACCGTCTGCTCTCTTATGTGCCCGGCTGTCTGGCTGTCTGTTCTGGGGGAAGCTTGACTGTACAGACGTGGCATGCTCAGTCAGACAGACGCTTAGATTGTCAGACGCTCGAACAGTCAGACATTCAGGAATCCAAACGCACTTCAGACACTTCGACATTCAGACACCCAGACCCTGAAGATCTAAGAAGTTCTTAGATCTAATTGTCGGACTGCTGACTGTCTGCTTGCCTCACTGTCTGCCTCCCCTAACCCCTAAACCCTAAACCCTACACACCCATCTGGTCGTTGAAGGGTTTGGAAGATCACCTTGCCGAGCCTCGATCTGGAGGTTGTAGAATGCGTTTAGGGTTTAGGGTTTAGGGTTTAGGGTTTAGGGTTTAGGCTCTACGTACACACCCCCTCTGGTGATGTTCGCGAGTTCTTCATAGGGAGTTCGGGAATCGTGTACATCCACGCAGGGCTGATGCTGTAAGAAGCCGACTGATAGATATGGAGGGTAGTAGTCGCTCGCTCCCGTATTGTGATTCCCCTTAAATAAGGAGTAGACCTTAGATCATATTCTGGATCCCTACTTAATTGTAAGGTATGTGCCTTAATTCAGGCTGAGTTCCTGACATCTTTGGGGTTCTTGTGGCCATTTGCAACCCAGATCATGGGTTGCAAGGGACCCAAACGGAACCTCAAGTAGACCCTCAAGCCCAAACCCTAAACCCTCAAACCCCCTCAAACCCCCTCAAACCCCTTCAAATCAATCCGGGAACCCTCACGCCCCTAAAGCCCCTAAAGCCCCTAAAGCCCCTAAAGCCCCTAAAGCCCCTAAACCCTAAACCCTAAACCCTAAACCCCACAGGCCTACGAGCCGCTGCGCAGCGACGCTCCCCACCCCTCCTGGCGCCATGCCATCTTCAATGAGCCGGGGGCCTCAGGGCCTAGGACCACGTATTGCAACAGGACCCCATCGCAGGGACCACAATCGCAATTTTAGGGTTTAGGGTTTAGGGTTTAGGCCCAAACCCAAACCCTGAACTGGAAGCCCTAAACTTGCCTCAATCCCGGAACCCCAAACCCTGAACCATAAACCCGAATCCCTCGAAATCCCTAATCGGTTGACGTGTTTGGCTTGTCGGGCCTCCTGGCACGAGGTACGGCACCCACGACAAGAAGCTGTGAGGGAGCTCGGTGCGATGTGGCGGCACCCAAAAAGTATTGGGGTTTGTTTAGGGTTTAGGGTTTAGGGTTCAGGGGTTCCGGGTTGAGGGTTTAGGGCCTAGTGTTTTCGGATGTTTAGGGTTCAGGGCTTAGGGCAAACCCCAAACCCCAAAAAACCTGCCCCAAGCTCCTAAACTCCCAAGCTCCCAAACTACACCGAAATGCGCCAACCCCGAACCCCTAAAGGCTGTCGGCTCAAGTCCCAGTCTGGCCAGCACCCCGAAACAAGCCCTACACCCTAAACCCTAAACCCCAAACCCCAAACCCTAAACCCCAAACCCTAAACCCAAACCCCAAACCCTAAACCCTAAACCCCAAACCCTAACTAAAGCCCTAGATCGGTTCTCTTCAAGCCAGGGATTGGGGCCCTAAACCCTAAACGCTAAACCCCAAACCCTAAACCCTAAACCCTAAACCCCACACCCTAAATCCTCAACTCCGAGCCCTAAACTCCGCCCTAGAACCCAAGCCATCCGGTGTCCCTGAGAACGAAAGACCCCGCGCAAGCCCTTGAAGCCCAAGCCCTTGAAAGGGTTTAGGGTTAGGGTTTAGGGTTTAGGGTTTGCCGTTATGGCCAGCATCTCTTCTGCGCTGAACGACGATCACGCCGACGACGCAACATGGGTCTTGACCAGCAGCTTTGTAATTCTGACCATGCAGAGTGGTTTCGGGATGCTGGAAATGGGAGCGTCCTCAAAAGGCCACGAAGTCAACGTTGTGCTGAAAAACATCTTCGACGTTGTTTGTGGCGCGATGGCATACTACATGGCGGGATACGGGATTTCTTATGGCCGCCCATCGAACTGCTTCATGGGTCTGGGTGAGTTTTTTGTGGACGCCAATGACGGCGACCACGTGGATACTGGACTGATCCACAGCAGGTACATATTTCAGTTTAGCTTCGCGGCCACCTCAACGACCATCGTCAGCGGCTGTCTTGCCATGCGGTGTCGCCTTCTGGTCTATTGCATCTACTCCTTTTATGCCGTGATCGTCTACGCGTTTGTCGCGCACTGGGAGTGGGCCGACGACGGCTGGCTTGCGCAGTTAGGCGTGCACGATTTTGCCGGGAGTGGAGCCGTCAGTCTTCTGGGCGCTATGAATGGTCTCATTGGAGTCGTGTGGCTGGGCCCCCGGCTGGGCCGCTTCGATGGGACCAGGCTAGCAACAGATTTCAAGCCTTCGTCGCCCACGACCATCTTGTTCGGTCTCTTCATGCCTCTTGGTGTGACCGGAATCGTTCCGTTTATGTAGGCCAAAGTGACCAAAGTACTTCTATCTGAGACTGCGATTGCTCCGAGAACACCGGAGCCCCCCAAACTCTCATCCCCTAAGCCCTAAACCCTAAGCCCTAAACCCCTAACCCTAAACCCTAAACCCTATGCCCTATGCCCTATACCCGAGGCCTTGCGCCTTCCGACTCCCCCAGCATTCCCCGAAGTCCAAATCCATCCCGGGGCCCCCGAAAATCCTCGGAAATCATGCTGATCCCAAACTTAGAGGAGTACGACAGATGCCCTTTCGACTGTGGCTCAAAGGAAAGCCTAAGCCCTACGCCACAGCGAAGCCGCCAACACCGCCGAAAAGGCCTCAACCCTAAGCCCTAAACCCTAAACCCCCCTAAACCCTACACCCTAAGCCCTAAACCCTAAACCCTAAAACCCGAAACCCTAAACCCTTTTAATACCCCCCGTCCCAGGCTCTGGTGGGGATGGATCGGCTTCACATGCGGCAGCTCTTTCGGAATCACGGAGATTCCTGGCTGCTGCCCAGCCCCCCCCCCCCCCCCCCCCCCCCCCCCCAAAAAAAAAAAAAAAAACCGAACAGAAAACAGGAGGGTTTAGGGTTTAGGGTTTAGGGTTTAGGGTTTAGGGTTAGGGTTTAGGGTTTAGGGTTTCGGGCACGAAAAACATCACTCGTAAGGTTCGCCCTGAGCCCTTAAGCCCCCCAAACCCTTATCTGAAACCCTACCAGCAGCAGCCGCACCAGAGCCCCGAGCAGTTCAGGGTTAGTGTTTAGGGTTTAGGGTTAAGGGTTAAGGGTTAAGGGTTAGGGTTTGGGGCTTGGGGCCTGGGGTTTGGGGTTTTTGGGGGATTTTCGCTGGTTGCTGTTTTGGAGCCCCTGTGCTGGATTCTCTTCTTCAAGCAATCTCTGCGCCTCTGAACCCCATGCCCTAGACAGTCGAAGGCTAGAGCTTAAAATCCTAAACCGCAAGATGCAAGCCTCAAATCCCAAGCCCTCAGCTGTAAAGCCCAAACCCTAAACCTTAAACCCCAAACCCAGGACGAAGTGGCTGGTCGCAACTCGCTCGGGAGTGGCCACTCTGAATGCCACCGCAGGCGGAGGCTTTGCTGCCTTGCTCTACACGAAGGCCATGTGGTGAGTTCTCTGTTTTAGTTACCTGAAGGATGAGGGGTTTTTGTCATCGCAAAATGCCCCCCCCCCCCCTTCGTTGAGGGTAGTAAGCCCTAAACCCGAAACATCCCTCCCTCCCCCCCCCACCCTCCAGCACCTGTTTGAAAGCCCAGTAGGCCCCCTCCCCCCCCACCCCGCACCCTTGCACACCTCCACAATCACTGCAGGCGAAGTCCAGGGGCGAGCTGATCTCTCCCGAGGAGACGCTCGGCTCAGCATTTAGGGTTTAGAGTTGAAGGTTGATTAGGGTCCATGGACGTTGACTGCTTGTTTCGTGCTGGCAACAGATCGTGCTTGTTGTGTGAGGAACGGTAGAGAAGGGAAGGCTTGTCGGCTCGAGTGTCGATCTGTTCCTGTGTGGGGGGGGGGGGGGGGGGGGGGTTGGGATCCCAACAGGTTCATGGTCAGCGGGCCTCATGTAAGTGCTAAGGGGCGCAGGGGTGTAGTGGTTGCCGGAGGCCCTGAGCTCAATCCACATTGTGTCCATCATGTTCTTCACTGTTCATGTGTTTTTTTCCAACCCCGCACCCACGCTGAAATGCGACCCCAAACCCACTCAGACCCCCGAGGCCGCAACGCCACTTGCGGGGTTTAGGGTTTAGGGTTTAGGGGCTTAGGGGCTTAGGGGCTCAACTAAAAGCCTCAAAATCCCCAACCTCCTCCACTAAAACGCGCTGTAACATAAAGCCGTAAGTCGGAGGGCTCACAAGACCTCCTCCTCCTCGCCCCCCGCGAACGTAGTACCACCCAAGCCCCAAACCCTAAACCCTAAACTCTTCATCCTACACCCCCGAAACCCTAAACCCTAAACCCTAAACCCTACACCCCCAAACCCGAAACCCTAAACCCTAAACCCTAAACCTTAAAACCCTAAACACTAAGCACTAAACACTAAACACTAAACACTAAACCAACCCTAAACCCTCAACCCTAAACAAACCCTGAAGCCTTACACCCTCAGCCTGAGGATTGCCAATGGTCTTCTGGGGGCTCTGGTGGGCATCACGGCGACCTGTGCTTGTGTGCACCCCCACGAGGCTTTTGTCGTGCACAAAGCGTGGTTTGGGGTTGAGGGTTTAGGGTTTAGGGTTGAGGGTTTGGGGCTTAAAGGTTTGCGGGCTTGGGGTTTAGGGTTTAGGGTTTAGGGTTTAGGGTTTAGGGTTTAGGGTTTAGGGTTTAGGGTCTTTGGAGTTTCGGGTCGACTTTATGCTTGCCCTTCTGGGGGGTTTAGGGATCTTGGTCGTTTGGGGGGGTTTCGGGGCTCGGGGACCTGGGACCTCAGTGGCCTCTGGAGGGGATTGCAAGAGATTTAGAAAAAATTGGGGGCAGGTTAAGGGTTTAGGGTTTAGGGTTTAGGGTTTAGGGTTCAGGGTTCAGGGTTTAGGGTTTAGGGTTCTGAGTTTTAGGTTGTCCATCGTAGCCCTCAAAGCCTAAGAGTTCTTGGGGAGGTAGGTGCCTTACGATTTTGACAGAGCCCCGGGCACCAAACTCTGCTAAGAGCCAGTAACGTCAACCCGAAACTCTAAAGACCCGAAACCCCAAGCCCAAACCGCAGACCCTAAACCCTAAACCCCGAACCCTAAACCCCAAACCCTAAACCCTAAACCCCAAACCCTCGGCCCCAAAACCCAAAAACCCTAAACCCTAAACCCTAACCCTAAACCCTAAACCCTAAACCCCAAACCCTAAACCCTAAACCCTAGACCCCGAACCCTAAACCCCAAACCCCGGACCCCAAGCCTCCCACGACGGCGGCCCCGGGGAAGGCGGTGATTATCGGCTTTGTCGGCTCTGTCGCGGCTTTAGCCTGCAACGACCTGCTCGAGTACAGGCCCTCTCTCTGCGTGTCTTTGCGGGTTTAGGGTTTAGGGTTTAGGGTTTGGGGTTTGGGGTTTGGGGCTGAGGGTTGAGGGTTGAGGGTTCCTGAGACCCGAAACCTTCATCCCTTATCCCTAAACCCTAAACCCTAAACCCCAAACCTTGAACCTTAAACCCTAAACCCTAAACCCTAAACCCTAAAACAAGCTAAAGCTCTCCCCCAAGGCCTGAACTGAACCTCGGCGGCTTTTTCGAGGGTTTGGGGGATTTGGGGCTGTAGGGTTTAGGGTTTAGGTTTTAGGGTTTAGGGTTTAGGGTTTAGGGTTTAGGGTGTAGGGTGTAGGGTTGAGGGCTTGGGTCTGAGGGGTTTGGGGTTTCAGCAAGCCGTGGGTGTAGTGTGCTGTAACCTTAAACCCTAAACCCTAAACCTCATCATCCTAAGCCCCCCAAAACCCTGAAACCCTGAACCCTGTCTACCAGATATATATATATATATATATATATATATATCTGTATATATATACACACCTTAAATGAATTTCAGAATAAGGCCGCGTCATTTTCAGAATAAGGCCGCTTTATTTTCAGAATTTGGCCGCTTTTTGCTTTCTCAATGTTGTGGGATCCTCTGGGTGGGTGGGTGATATAACAGAGCCGTAGATAAAACTGAACCGTAAAACTGCTCGACCCGGAGTGCTGAACTCTAAACCCTAAACCCTAAACCCCAA